AATTGTCAACGATTCTCGCGTGCGTATTTTCGATCGAACTCGAATTGAATATGGAAATTGCATGGAACGAGGTGGTTGACGACGCGGTGCAACGTGACATTCGACGCGCGTGGAATGCGAGCCTGATCCGAGAGACTCGGGATACATACAATATTAGCGGAGACGCGCGATCGTGTTTCACGTTTTCGCGGCACTTGTGTGGCCGGGCCCGATGAATTCGTGAAACTTGACTTTTGCGCAAAATAGTTGCGCTCCCGGTTTCTCGTTTCCTGTGCTCTTGCACCAGGAAAAGTCTCGACCCTCCACCACTTGGACGCGATTTTCACCGCCGATTCGGCAGCCAGTTTCGAGATTGCTTTCTCTTAACTCTCTGTTTCTTCTTTCCCTAGTAATCGAATAAATCCTTGTCCTCCAGAGAACAGCAGGGCACTATGCAGTTCTGCTGGTGCGTTCGATGTTGCTCCAATGTTGTTGTTCTGCTTCTCAACAGCGCCAGTGAATTTCCAATGACGAATGAAAATGGCGCGTGCGTGTGCAGCAAGCACGTGACACGGATTTCGAAAAGTGTAATCGAGTAGCAAGGGTGGTATCCTATCTCTGTCCGTTTCAAGGAGGCCAGAAGAATGTAACGCAAACACAGTCCTTGGCCCTTTATTTGCCTATGCTTGTTGACGATCCGCTCACGGGGATCTAGACCGGGTCCGGTGCAGGTGCCAGTAGCTGCATGCTGCTGCTAGAATGCGCGATCTGCAAAATTGAACGATCTCTGCGATCTCGTTTGTTTGTTTCACGCGTTTCGTATTCACGGCAGCTTCAAATCATTGGGAAAATTTGCATCCGATTCTGCGCGGCAGAGATCGAAACAAACAAAGAAATTCGAGGATAACAATTTCGTTTCACTTTGTTTGGTGACCCGCCACGAACGCGAAGATTATCCAGCGGTTTTGAAAATACGAGTGCAAGAGCGGAATGAACGATTTTCAAGAGTTGGCCAGAATTCGAGGAATACAGGGTGGGAAGGCAAGTTTATCCGTGGTTATCATAGATGAATTCGATTCCATGGAAATACACGTAAAGAAGAAATTGATCTTGATCCTGAATTTCAAGGTCGAAAAATTTTTTCCTTTTCGCATTGTATTCTATTCATCGCGAAGGTAAGAATTTTCTCAAGAAACCATAGATTACAACCTAATAGTTCTATTGAAAAATGGCAAAAAGGTTTCTTAATTATTTAACACTGCGTGGGTCCTAACAGCGACTTTATGATTCTGAATTAGGTTTCACTAACATTTCATTTATCATAGTTGTAGCATCACTGTGAACTTAAATAATCAAACGATAAAATTAACTGTTAATTATTTGAAATGTAATTATTAAAAATCCATACGTCCAGGACCGTAAAGTCGCTGTTAGGACGCAGTGATAAATGATTAAGAAACTTTTTTCGCGAGAACGATTGGATTACGAGCTATAGTTTATTTTCATCCTCGCGATGAGTAGAGTGCAATGTGAAAGAAAAAAAATTTTTTTGAAATACACGTAAAGAAAAAATTGATCTTGATCTTGATTTTCAAGGTCGAAAAATTTTTTCCTTTTCACATTGTATTCTATTCATCGCGAAGGTAAGAATTTTCTCAAGAAACCATAGATTACAACCTAATAGTTCTATTGAAAAATGGCAAAAAGGTTTCTTAATTATTTAACACTGCGTGGGTCCTAACAGCGACTTTATGATTCTGAATTAGGTTTCACTAACATTTCATTTATCATAGTTGTAGCATCACTGTGAACTTAAATAATCAAATGATAAAATTAACTGTTAATTATTCGAAATGTAACTATTAAAAATCGATGCGTCCAGGACCGTAAAGTAAGCTGTTAGGACGCAGTGATAAATGATTAAGAAACTTTTTTCGCGAGAACGATTGGATTACGAGCTATAGTTTATTTTCATCCTCGCGATGAGTAGAGTGCAATGTGAAAGAACAAAAATTTTTTTGACTCTGAAATTCAAGGTCAAGGACAATTTTGTGGCTGTAAAGGTTCTTTACATGTACATTTCTAAGAAATTGAAGATGTAGAATTCATCTGTGATAGCCACGTACAAACGTTTCTTTCCATCCTGTACATACAGAGAGAGAGAGAGAGAGAGAGATTTACCTGCTGCTTCGGTTGCTTGTACGACTTTCTGGCGTAGACTTTCAAAACTCTGCAATTGCAGGCGACGGACAGCGCCACAGCTAGTCCCTGTGTAGTATTACCGGTCGATCGGTCGATGGATCAGCCATGAAAAAAAGGAAAAAACGGAAAAGACATTCAGAAGAGAAGTTCAGGTGCGTCGCGTTGGAGCTCACTCGACGGATGTGACGGCACACGATGCATCGCTGCACCAAAACGCCGAGACAAATCGTTCTTGGTACGTATATAAATGGCCACTCGCCTGACATATATACACATACACATACACATACACACACACACACAGTGAATAGACTGATATATATATACACATACATACGCATAAACACACACAGAGTGAATAGACTGACACACACGCACGCACACGCACGCACGCACGCACACACACAC